TAAAAACATAAAATAAAAGTGAAATGAAAAAGAGACAACTTTTAAATGGCTCTATGAAGAAAAACCTCATGTCTCAACATAGACACTTAAAACTTTTGTGTGCTTGTGCACGGTGTTTTTAAAGGCCTTATTTAAAAGTAGACAATTTCAAAAACCATTGATGTTAGCCTAGTGAATAAAGCATATCACAGGATCTTTACAGTTCTTCCAGAATCCTACCTGGCAAATGAAGTCGTTTCCTTTAACATAGGTATTTAGCTTTGAACTTGTCTCTCTAAAGCATTTACAATTTAAAAGTCCTAGTTTAAAATTGTTCCATCAACCACAGATCCACTGTTAATATCAGTAACACTGGCAAAAGGAGGTAATTTGCATTCCTTACTAAGATTTCCTCCCCCATCCCAAATTTAAAAACCAAGAAAACAAAACAACAATCAAGCCCCATCACCAACATAAAAACAAAGAAAGAAAGAAAAATACCACTATCTCCTCATAAGGGGAGGAGATCTAAGATACCAGACATAAGATACTAGAACAGGTGTCTACATGATTCAAATTCATTAATAATTTTATAACACAAAAGGATCATTCAGAGAAGAACCCAGAGGTTAACTGTACACAGAGTGACAAAGAACTTTGGAGCAGTGGAAAACCTTGGTATGTATATGACATTCACCCCGATGAAAAGCTAACTCTCCAACAGCCACCTCCAACAATCTTCCAAAAACATCACCCCCACCACTAACTTCCACTCCTCAACCCCAGGCTCAGTGCCACACTTAGCACTCAGGACATGATTTGCTCACTCTGCAGAACACTTCTCAAATATTTCCTCTTTTGTACTTTTTAAAGGTTTCAGTTCTAAAAAAGAACAACTGTTGTTTCAAATATTAAATTAGGCTCTACCTAAACTTCAAAATAAAAATAATGATTACATAAAAGGGAGATTTGATCCAGAGCTTCATAAATCATCCTAATCCTCTGTGCTGTAATTAAAAGTTCCCAATGAATAAACCTATTTTAATCCAAGGTTAAAAAGAGGTAAAAGCAGAGCTAAGATTGTCCCCAAATCACCTGGAGAAAGAAGCCAAAAACAGACCCAATGCCTTTTAGTGCTTCAACATCTAAGCGGTTTTATTTTAGCTTTTGTAGAGCTGAATGAAGTTAAACCTGCCATCCCTCTTGACTCTACTTAAACAAGTAATCTTTACAAAAGTATTGTGAAAAATGTAAAGGTCTTGTCCTCTGAAAATAATAATCAGCTCCATTTCTCCTGCATTGGACTCTTGGATGATCAAATGCTACCTGTAAAATCCAGAGCCCAGCACTAAGTCACCTACATTTGTTGGTACTATAACCCCCCAAAGAAAGTAGCAGGTATGTCCAGAAGCCAAATGAGGCACAAGCTTGTTCCTTAAAGTATGACAGAAAGATCCACAGGCTAAGGGGACATACTTGGTACTTATTAGTTACATGACTGAGACAGGTCACTTCACCGATAGAAAGAAAGTAACTGAAATGATTGGGAAAGCAATGTCAACTGCCTAGTGATAGCGCCACTGTACAGAGACGTGCTATTCACAAGCAATCCCCAACAGCAGCTTATTAAAAACTCAGCAACCCCTTTTCCTGAGTGTATTTATCCACATCCTAGCATGGATGCCATCATTGCATAGAATGAACTTATTTTTCATAGGTGAGTCATGACATTGTAAAGCTTCGGTCTTCATCCTGAACATCAATTCTCATTATATCACGCCAAGAGCCAGAAAATGATAATAATCAAAATAAAAGAAAACGGATGCTTGGAAGTTATTTCTTTAAATAAACGCTACATGCAAGTAGGTTTCTGATCATTTGTTTCTCTCTGCCAAAGTATGTACTGTTTTAAGTCCAAATTAGCTGGAGATCTAGGCTAAGGTTGGTCCATTTGCCACAAATATGGTAAAATAAAAATAAAGGGTACCACTGGCTAATGTTTTTACAAACAATTTTGTATAACACCTAGAAAACTATGGCTTTCTGAGTAAAAAAAAATCTGTCCAAATGAAAGTCCTAAAAGATTGAAAATACCACAAGCCAACTTAAAAAAAAAATGAAACTTTTATTCCTAGGAGATCTGTAGGGTAGTGTCTGTGTGGTGACAGTATGTTTCAAGAAAAGTCAAGGAACAAATGGTTCAACCCAAGGGACTTACTCAAACCTGTGCCTAGGCTGCCAGCATTAGCCACAGCTCCACCTACTGCTACAATACCAACACTGTGCTTGCCTACAGTGGGGCTAGTTCTGCAGGTATGGGCTCCAAGTGTGAATGAATGCAAAGCTTTCTATTAAGCTAGGAAGTTATTTAAGAATGAAAAGCTGTCACTTCAAAGGCAATGTGGGGGTAGGCTTGAGTCAAGTGAGGATCTTAAAATATGTAAACTGCAAACACAGGACAAGTAAGCAGTTTTAATATTCCTTAGCTAGTTGGACTGTAAATCTTACTCAAGATTTTAATACATGGCCCTGTGCTGGTAGCTCAGGCCTGTAATCAGCTACTCAGGAAGCTAAGATCTGAGGATCATGGACTAAAGCCAAGCTAGGAAGAAAAGACCATGAGACTTTTATCTCCACGTCACCATCAAAAAAGCCAGAAGTGGAGGTGTAGCTCAAGTGATAGAGCACTAGCCTTGAGCTGAAAATGCCAAGTGAGAGGGAAGCCCTGAGTTCAAAACCCAAATACAAAAAAGGGAGTGGGGGGACTGGCAAGATGGCTCAGTGGTAGAGTGCTTGCCTTGCATGCATGAGGCCTGGATTTGATTCATCAGCACCATATAAGCAGAAAAAAGCCGAAATGGCACTGTGGCTCAAGTGGTAGAGCATTAGCGTTGAGCTGAAGAGCTGAGGGACAGCGCCCAAGGCCCAGAGTTCAGGCCCCATGACCCACCAAAAAAAAAAAAAAAAGATTTCAAAGCATGAGTAAGAATTATATGTTTGAGTAGATGAATAGACAGATGATGTATTTACCTTTTATTACTTCTAGCCTGGAGTAACAGTTAACTGCTGGGCCAACACAGTTTCTAAACTAAGGATTGGAAATATTCCAGAGCTAGAAGGAAAGCGGGGGTGTTCCAGGTGTTTCACAGTCCAACTTCCACATTTTCCCTAATGCCTAAGTTTCTCTTTGGACAATTAGGCCTATAAAAATTGATAATCAATTCTTACTATGAAATGCTCCAGGGCATGGGTGGTTCAAGGCTGTGGTCTTGGCCCTTACATATCTCTTACATAAAATCTACCAACCAACCTTTTCTAGGCATCCAGAATACACATGGCAGCTTGTCAGTCTTAAGCAAAACAACAAAGCAACCTCAATTCTGATCTAAAATTAAACCACAGGCTTAAAATAGACTATGGCTTAAAATATCTGGGATTACAACAAATAAAACCACCACTTTGTCAAACTAAATAGAAAAACCACATGGGTTGATAATAAATGTAAAAAGAATACTGTCTAATATTTACCTAGCTAGCTCCACAGGCCAGCACTGTGCTAAATCCTACAGTTTATCAAGTTCGTAAGGCAATAGGTTGAATACAATAGGGGAAATCAATGGGAATCGCCATCCAAGAATTTCAGCTTACTGTTAACTTGACTCATGCTAAAATAAGTTATGCTTCATAAGTAGCTCCTTTGAGTAGCCAGATATTTCCAAGTCACAAAATGAATACCAAAAAAAAGTCTACGCAGGTATCTCTCTAGAAATGACTGTAGGAGTAAACTGGGGATGAAGGGCTGGGAGGGGACCCAGTGGATGCTAAATAAATATTTTCCACGCCAGCAGAGGAAATGAAGAAAATGGAAGTCATACTATTCATCCTACAAAAATGCTGATTCCACTATCATACTCCTCTTTGCAAAAATAGACTAGTTAGCAGTCCTCGCAAATTGCCAGCCATGCAATGTTGTCACAGATGTGGGCCAGATTTTACAGAGGACCTAACTTGGCTGTGAGGGGAACCCAGTGTTTGCCTGGGTCTTAGGCAGGAGAGAAAGCCTGTTCATTTATTTATATTTGGGGGTGCAGTGGGGAGGGAAGGGGGATTGCGGGTGGTTCCATAAACCTGAAGAACAACTTGAAAGGGTTAAAAAAGCCGGCACCAGGTGTCTTCTTTCCACTCTGCAGAGGAACTGAAGCACACAGCAGAGTTATCTCTGCATCCTCCTCCCCAGGCCAGCTTGGGGTGGGGGGGGACCTGTCACTGCTGTTTACACCCTGTGGCTCCGGTGCTAACAGGAGGAGGGCCCCGGGCTGGGCAGTGTAGGCATCGGTCTTCCTAAAGCCTGCCTGCACGCGCGCTTTGTTGCCAAGTTCTTCGCTCCGCTGCGGTGACGGGGGCACCAGAGAGCCAGGGAGAATTTAATTTTATTTCCAATCTGTATGCTTTCAAAGAAAGTGGAGACAATTGAGGCCATGGGAGGAGCTGGCGGGGTGAAGGCGAAAACAAACTTTGAGGTCCTGGGGATCTGCCTCCCCCCACCCCCCCATACCTCCCAGCCAGAGATCAAGCCGTACTGCTGATTCCAAAGTATTTATAGACAGATCATGAACCAAGCAGGGGCCAAGCGGCGTCCGCGTCTCTGCCCCGGCCCCGGCCCCGTCCCTGCCTCTCTCGATCGTGCAGCCGGCTCCATTCCCAGCCACGGCCGGGACCCGGTTCTGTGCCCGGCCTCCCCGCGGAGCCCGGGATGCTATGCCGAGCGCCGAGCGGGCACCGGGCGCCGCGCCCCCCAATGGCGGCCCGGAACGCCAGCCAAGGTCCACCTGGGCCAGAGAGCTCCCAGGCCGGGTGGAGGGACCCCGGCTGGGAGCGGAGGCGGCAGACGCGGGCCCGGCTTTGCTCCGGGTGGCGCGGCCGCGCACCGAGTCGGCATTGTCCATAGGCGGAGCGCGGAGCGGACACCAATCCCCGACCCCAATCGGTGAACCCCACTTTCCCACCACTGCACAGCCTACCTCAGTCGCGCCCCCCACCGAGTCCCGGAGGTGAGGGCCAAGCCCGGCGCCAGGTTCCCGGGGACGGCGAGGAAGGAGAGTCAGGGCCCCGCGAGGGACGGCGGGCCGTGCGCGCGCTGCAGGCGCCCCCGAGTCCTCGCAGCCGCCGGCACCGAGCGGACACGGCTGGCTGAGGCGGCCCAGAACGCGCGGCCGCGGAGGGCAGGGCGCGAGCGGGGTCTGTGCCGAGTGGGAGGGAACTTGGAGCGAGTTGCCGTGGCCGAGGGCGCGTGTCTCCCGGTGAATGTGCACGCCCCCCTCGCGGCGCCCCGCCCCGTCCTGCCCGCTGCCCCCCCTCCCCGCTCCAACTTCTCCCCTCCCAGCCTGCTCCCTCCCTCACTCCCCCACCAGTCCATCAGGGACTTCCTTCTGCCCCCCTCCCGACCCCCACGTTGAGACCCGGCAGCACTGGCCACCTAGAATCAAGATGGTGAATAGTTTCACCCCATCTGGTCGTCAGCTATTTGAGACTATCTCCATGCCCCACTATCTTGTAACTTCCAAACCCTCTGTCATCTTGAGTATTAAATGTTTGGAGAAAAATAGTATTTTAGAAAAAAAAAAAATCACACCCCTGATGTGCTGCCTCGATGTGGGTCAGGTGATGTTTCAAACTTGAGAAAATGTTTTTGTGATTCATCTCATCGTGTATTGTGTCTATAATGCATGCAGGGGGTTGTTTTGGTTTTTTGTTTTGTTTTGTTTCGTTTTTGTGCTTAGTGGCCTGCTGTTCTTTGTGGAGGAAGGGTGGTTGTTGTAGGAAGATTTAAAAAGTTCTAATTTAGTTTTGCTCCTGGGAACTCTAATAGATGGAATCCATGTTTATCCAACTTATTGAATTTGAGCCCCAAGTGCTGGTGGCTCAGGCCTGTAATCCTAGCTACTTGGGAGGCTGAGATCTGAGGATCGTGGTTCAAAGCAGCCCAAGCAGAAAAAGTGAGACTCTTATCTACAATTAACCACCAGAAAACCAGAAAACCGGAAGTGGTGCCCTAGCTCAAAGTGGTAGAGCCCTATCCTTGAGCAAAAGACCTCAGGGTCAGGGCCTAGGCCAGTGAATGACTCAAAAGAAAGCAAAAGCTATTGAATTTAGATAAGATAGAGTTTCACAAATTACTACTTCTTCATAAAAAACATTTCCTTTACCGAACGTTTTTTTTTTTAAAACCTGTAGTCCATTTGAAATACACACTGCCATCCATCCTATTTTCTCAAAAAGGTTATCTATTTGCATTCAGATAGGGGACCTTTGGGTTAATCTACTTTTGAAACTCCCAAGTAAATAAAACTCAGATTCCTATAATAATCATGGCTATTTGCATGCATGTCCCTTTAATAAGTGACATTATACTGGGTTTAAGTGGAACTTTGGCATAAGAATGCATTTTTATGATTAGAGATGATGTTGTAGCCTCCATTAGTCTGTAACAGTGGATAGTGGAATGAAGTTATTTCTTATAATGATAACAATTTCTCATAATTGCCATACCAATTGTAGCCAGCTTCACGCCCTCCAGAAAGCTGTTTTGTCCTAAGTCCATGGCTGCCTGCCACTGAGTGTGACTAGAACACATACCTTCCTGCCACTTCAATGGCATGTGGTCCCCTCCTCCCTTTCCCTCCCCCAGCCAAATGAAATATATTGAGTTCCCTGGGTTTAGAAGGTTGGAAGGATATGACCTCATTAGGAAAAATGCAATCCTTTTCCTGGATAATGAGGAGACTCCTGAGGCCAGGCCAGGGGAGCCTTCTGTCACTGGAGGTACCCTACCACAGAACAGAGTCAAACCAGAAGAACACCTTGCAGAGCAAGAAACAGATCCAGACAGCATCAGAAACTGCCACACTTTTAACTTCTGAGAAAATACACTTATAAATTGTCTTCCCTGCTCATGTTGTTTCCATTTAGGTTTCCTTTCAAATTTTTTGCTTATAAAGTCACAAAGATTATAAGCATAAGATCTATGCTTTGAAAATCAGAAATGTAATCCATGATGATACATGTGATCTGCCTAAACTGATAATTCAGAATATTTCATGGAAGTGAGGAGCCTTGACTTTTAATAGGATTAAGGTTCTCATTTGGGTGTTATTAATGTCCAGTATAGACTTTTTATCCACATTATCTTCACCAAAACCAAAAATCATTCAACATGTCAGAGAACCAGAAAGAAAAAGATACCTAAACCAAAAATTCTGGTGAAATTTTTATCTTATCAGTTATTCCAGTAAAATGAACTTTTATAATCCCCAATGTTTGCACCTATAGGACATTTTTCTCTTCGTGTGACACATTTTCAAAGCTTTCTTCAGATTTTCAGAGACTGTTAAAATTAATTCTTTGTGCTAGAATCTTCTTGTGCTGAGTATTATCCAGGAGAAGTGGGTCATTGGAATTCTTTTGCTGCAGAGATACTTTTTTGTCTCCAATAGTATATAACAATGATTAGTACCCAAGCAAAACAATCAGTGTGTTTACCACAGCACACAGGTCACTCAGCATGAAGAACTACGATGTGCCACAAGCCTCTGATTGAAACTGTTTCTTACAGGAAAATGTGATACTGAATAAATAAACTAGTGTTTTCACTAGTCTTTTTACGAAGAACTAAGAACTAGTCTTTTGGCCACTATCAAAATTCAATTGTATAATTGCCCTTGCTCTTAAGAATAACATATTATATACCGATATGAACACTACAAAAGGAGAGTACAAGAAGGAATACATCTCTAGAAATATAATAGGACAGCTTAGTAAGAAAAGGAAGGAAAATTGAGTTCTGGAATCCAGAGTGGCATTTGTTTAAATGGTTGGCTCTGACTCTAAAATTCAGCTAAATATTCAGAGTTCCCCTACTGGCCATGGGTTGGGTCCTTGTGATGTCTGTGCTGTTTCCTTGCCCAGCAATGTACAGTGATCTCGTAGTTAAAGACAGTCCCATCTATCCAGAGCTGCTCCTTGGACTCACTACAAAACCCAGTGGTTTCAAACCATGGTGCAGCGTCACCAGCACTCTCCTAATGAATACCAGCTCTCCAGCTCTCCTTGCTGGTAGAGGGAAGAGGGAAGAGGAAAGAGGAAGGCAGTGACAGGGGGTGGAATAGGCATGTGTATTTTTTTTTTTATAATCTCCCAAGAGATTTCAGTGATTGTCACCTAAGGCAAATAAGATCTGTGAATTTGTGCTATTCATTCTATAGGGGTGGGAAAAGAATTGAGAAATCCTCAGCCCCTCAGAGCAGACTCCATGAACTTATAATTGTACGTCAAATTAAAGCTATTGACTGAACAAGCTCCATTTGTCTTTTCTCTTTAACAGCATCTGGTTTTTCCAGGCTGCAGCAAAAGCAATGAGAAGAATGCACTTTAACAGTGGGAGGATTTGCTGGAAGCAATCACACCGTAAGGAAAGGGGACTGGACAACTTGCAACAAGGCAGCAAGGCCCAGATAAGAGAATCCCTAACAAGACAAGGCATTTTGGCTGTTGGTCCTGCCCTGGATGCCAGTCCATGTCAGCAATAGGCCTGAAGTTATCTTGTGTTAATGGACTCACACTCATTGCATACACAGACTGATCAAAGGAATCAAAACAACTGAATTATGTTCACAAATACTGCCCTACATCACTTAATAGTAACAGCTCTCATTTATTAAATACTTAGTCTATGCCAAGTAATTTATATGCTTTGTTTTTTTTTTGCTTGTCACAAAGGCCGCAAGCATAAATATTATGTGCTGGAAGCTCAGGCCCTGGGAAGACAAGTAACATATCCAGGGTTACAGAGTTAGCAATTAGAAGATTTAAGGGCTGTTCCAAGTGACCCCAAAGCCCATCTATCTTTTACTCTAAACTTGCTGCAGATAGCCACTAGCCACAGGAGCCTATTTGGATTTAAATAAAGTTTTAGGATATTTAACTTCATTGAATTAAATTCATTCAAGTTTTTTGAATTTTAAAAGTAAATGAATTAAAATTTTCTGAGTCACTGAGACTACTTAAGAAGTGTTTGATAGTAACACTTCCGCTGACCTCTGCCCTCCAGCAGGAAGGCTGAGTTCAAAGACAAACAAAAAAAAGTTCAAAAATACATTTTTATCATAGCAGAATGTTCTATTTTATATCAATTAGTGTTCTCTGCGACTGAACTTTTCAAGTGAATTATCCCAACCCCTTTATGTCAACTGTTGCTGTAGAATTCTTTTAGAAAGACTCCATCTAGTTCTGAGCTGGTCCTGATCAGCAGGGCTAGGGAACTGGCTGACCACTGGAAGTTATGTGGTGAGGTTCACCTCACCAAGGCAAGCTGGTGAACCTCAAAGTCTGATCCCTCTGTTAGCTCTGCTCTCCATCTTCCTTTCCTTCCTTCTTCCATTCTTCCTTTCTTCCCTTCCTTCTTTCCTCCTTCCCTCCCTCCTTCCCTTCCCTCCTACCTTCCAGCCTTTTTTGTACACTTGTTATTTTTGAACTAGGGTCTTGCTTCCTGCCCAAGCAAGCCTTCATCAGCCTATTTTAGGCCACCATGCCCAGCTTTCTGTGGATAGTCTCACCAACTTTTCTGTGTAACCTGGTCTGAAAGCGATAATTTTAGTTTTCCAGGTAGTGTAGGACTATAAGCAAGTACTATGTACCAGATATGGGTACATACCTTGCTGCCCAGGATTGGCCTTGAACCTAAATCTTCCATTCTCAGTTTCCCCACTTGTAGGATTACAGGCACGAGCCATTGGCTCCTGCCCTGTATATTATTTGTTTGCTTTTATTTTTTCAATACTATATACTGAACCCAAGACCTCAAGCTTGCTATTTCTTGATATATTCCCAACCCTTTCCTAAGATAAATTGGCTTGAACTCAGGGTCTCCCTCTATTATAGGTTTTTTTTCAAGGCTAATGCTCTATCACTTGATCTACACTGCTACTTCTGGCTTTTTGCTGGTAACTTGGAGTTAAGTCTCACAGAGTTTTCTGCCTGGGCTGGCTTCAACCTCAATTCTCAGGCCTAAGTCCCTTGAGTAGCTAGGATTATAGATGTGAGACATCAACAGCTGGCTATATTTTGTTTTTTAA